TCCAAAAGCTGTACTTTGGAAATTTATATTTATTAAATAAAAGTCAAAAAAACCACACAACCATATTTTCCCGTAAGAATGAAAACCTGTAAGGCGACATGCTAAGCTGTTGTGAAAGTTCCACAAGATCGTTTACGTTCAGAACCCAGTACTACTTGACACCACCTACTCAGTGTGCACTCAAGAAACAGCTACTGTTGTCGTAGAGAAAGCTGGACTGACCTTCTGAGTCACGGAAGAGGAAGCACTAGATAAAAGCTCCCCTGCTTCTTAGGCTTTAACCCCAGGGAGCTTCATTTTTATCATCTCTAATGCGAGATTGATAACACCTTCTCGGCTGACCCTAGGGAGCTCGAAGTTGCCAAGGAATTCTGAGCTGTACTTGGGAACCTTGATTGAATAAACATTTTAGCAACAGATCCGATTTCTTGGGCAATGTAATCTGGAACACGTGGTGGAGAAGAACGCTGTTTTGTTTGTTGGTGAGCTATCTGCTGAGAAACAGAAAGCTTCACACTGAAAACCAATAAAGGTCTAAACTGGAGGTTAAATGCTGCTTGCTCCTCTCCCTAAATAACCGGCTGAGAACTCTATACAAATAGTATTTCTTCTTAGGAGGCCCTACTACTTATATTGCTGTGCTCCTGCTTGATATTAAGAAAACAAAGCATCCCAAAAGCTGTGCAAAAGCTGCTCAAAGACATTTAAGACAAACAAGTGCTGTGTTTTCCTACAGTGTCTTTTACTTCCAGGTCTGGCAAGGCAGTCATATTTAACAACTATTTGCTTGTAGCAACTCTGTGTGAAACACACCTCACCCGATTTTATCCTAAGAACCTGCGGGCTGCTCATACAAGGAATCCTCAGAAAGTTCGTGGAAGATACATATCACGAAAAATCATGTGTGGATTTTGAAATTCTCTTGCACCAAAATAAATTTATCTTTTCATTCTATGTTTCAGTGAACTTTTGAAGTGCTCTCATACACTGCAATATATTCTTTTCTGTCCTAGAATCCACAGGAGACTGCAGGCTGTTTTCAGGAACTTTTAATTGTGCTCTACTGGTGCAGGTGTTTTGAGGCAGCAACTGGGACATTGCTTGGGATGCCCTCATCCCACATTGGAGAGCCTAGGTCCAAGTCCCCACTCTGCTTTCTGCTGGTGCACACCTTGGGAGGTGACAGTGGTGGCTCAAGTCTATGTCACCCACCTGGTGGGAGACTCAGCTGGAGTTCCAGATTCCTGGCTTCAGCTTAGCCCAGGCCCAGCTGTAGTGCGCATTTGGAGAGTACACCAACAGATGGAAGATGAATTTGTCTCTTTTCACTCTGCCTTTCAAACTAAAAGCACTTAGAACCTATGAGTCAAGGTTATTATGAGACTAATTTGCTGTTTTCCTTCCTATAAATAATGCTGGAAGCTAGATATAATACTGCTTCATTTCCCAAATCAGTTGGTGGATAGAACTTCAACACACAGCACACATCAATTTTCCAGCTGTATAAATGGGTCCCAGGGCAGACACAGTGCTCTGGCCCTAGCCTGTGGGGACCTGAACTGTTGTCATCAGAAAACAGAGAAACAACTCGTATGTGAGCTCTCTTTCTAGATGGTGGCCCTCACTTGATTACTATAACCGTGATGTGCTGAAGATCACAGCCTCCCAGTTGCCTGGGCCTCAGAAGCCCAAAGTCCTATAAAATACCAATCCTAACCTTCCAGAGATTCCTCTTCGATCTTACATTTCACTTGAGAGCAAGCAACTCACCGAGAAATAAAAAGCCTGGAGCAACTCTATCACTGGCAGAAGTGCTGATGTCCCCTGCAGCTCAGGAAGACAGCAGCTGAGCAGGTGTGGCATCAGTGTGGCTTGGCAGGCCCAGAAGGCCAGGTGTGGCTCTTCACTCAAACCCTCCCCGGCCTCTGAGTTCCAGTGTAACAGAGACTGGAGATTCAACCCCGGGAGTGGTTGCTCAGGTAGGTTTCAGAGGGCGCAGGGTTGTGGAGTTGGTGGTCGTAAAATAGATGTCAGAAAGAAGAGGCCAAAGACAAATCCATGGAAACCACGGCCTTTGTCTTGGAACAGCAGACTGCTCGTCAGATGGTGGCAGCTGCTGGGGTAAAGGGGGCACACGTGTGCCCTGGCTCACCCCTGTGGTGACAACCCTGGGTCTCGGATGGCCTTGTTGCTTGGGTGGTGCTGTATGAAGTGTGATGTGTCAGTGAGATCTCATGCAGCCAGAGAAGATGGAAGCCTTCACTCCCGAGTCTGTTGTCAAGTCGGTGTTGCTTCTGCCTGTTGAAGCACCAGGGAGAGGGGAGTGCGATCCGACAGGGGCCAGATTTCATACTCAAAGAGATTGTTTGGCAAGCCAGGCACATTCTTGCACCCTGGTAGGAATCTGCAGAATTCATTTTTTAGAACATGTGATTCTCTTATGCAGTTTCTCATAGAAATCAGTGGGTAACATTTATCCAAACTCTCTGTATTTGTTCTTGATGCAGAGTCAGACTCCAGGCGGCTGAGCAGTCTCAAGGCCAGAGAAGCCTAAGCAGGGGAGGGAGGGAAGGTCCCCACGACGCAGTGGACCCTTTCCCTCTCCACCCCTCTGCCCCTTCCCAAACTCTTCAGTAGTTTCCTTTGAGGGCAGTGTCCTGCAATGCCTACTAGCTGCCATGTTGGTCTCTGTGTCCCATTGCCATGTAGCCAGCATATCTTACAAGCAGGGGGTGGACCAGGGTGAAATAAAACATTGCAGTGAACATCATCTTTGTTTCTGGGACAGTTGGTAGAATACCAAGTGGCTCTTTGGTTATCACCAAAGCTCTCTTCCAACTAAGGACTACAAGTCTGACATTCAAGTTATTCTCCCAGGTGTATGCGAGGCCAAACCGAGAAGGCACTGGACTGCCAGCCTCTGCAGCAGGTGCTCTTCGTGTCACCCCCATTGCTGCTGCCCAGATGGTTATGACGATGTCACCTGGAAGTCACAGGCCCTGGGGCATGATGGGTCACAATCCCCTTTCCCTGGTGTTTTAATACACCCAACAGGTGAGTGGACTTGTCATGTCTGATCAAAATGGCCATGCTGGGTAGAGTTGGGACCCCAGGAAATTGCCTTGCAAAGCTCAGGCTCAATATGGATAGCATACTTTGAAGTCCAGATTACACCCAGATTTCACTGTGGCCCAAAGGACTTTCTGTTGCTGACCATTGGCAGCCCACTGTGCAGTAAGAGATGGAACCTCTGCTGGAGACTGAATTCCACAGTGGCCGCATTGGGAAGTGAGGCCTAGTGGGAAGAGTTTAGGCATGGGGTAAGTCAAGTCTTCCCCACAGGGATGACTTCTTGCTCTCCTGGCACTGTTCTACACTAGAACATGTCATAAAGAAAGGCCACCCCTCACGGTTCTCCCCTTCCTGCCCTTCCACTTCCTGCCCGAGTGGAAGGAGCACATGGCCCTCACCGGATGCAGCCGCCTGATCTTCTAGAGCCATGATCCCAAATCAATCTCTGTTCTTTATAAATGACCCAGCCCCAGATATTTGGGGAGAGGAAAAGAAAACAGACTCAGACATCCACTCAGAGCAGGCCAGGGACCTCTGGGGGAGCCCTCCTTTCTCCAAACCAGTAAGCACAAGTGGAACCACCTGCTAGTTCTCACAGGCCAGCACCACAGTGCATCCTGGGAGTATGTTAAGCTTGCTGTAGTGTCTAGGGTTACCCATACTGTCCTAAGATGGCAGATTGGTTTTGAGTTAGTTTCTGACCCTCACCCTCAAACCTGAATGAGTCTCTGGGACTGCTCAATGCTGCTGCTGCTATATTTGTGTTTTATTTGACAGGCAGAGTGGACAGTGAGAGAGACAGAGAGAAAGGTTTTCCTTTTGACGTTGGTTCACCCTCCAATGGCCGCCGCAGCCGGCGTGCTGCGGCTGGCGCACTGCACCGATCCGATGGCAGGAGCCAGGTACTTATCCTGGTCTCCCATGCGGGTGCAGGGCCCAAACACTTGGGCCATCCTCCACTGCACTCCCTGGTCACAGCAGAGAGCTGGCCTGGAAGAGGGGCAACTGGGACAGAATCCAGCGCCCCGACCGGGACTAGAACCCGGTGTGCCGGCGCCGCAAGGCAGAGGATTAGCCTACTGAGCCGCGGCGCCGGCCTGCTCAATTCTTCTTAAAGGTGACAGAAGTCATATTACAGGAGGCTCATCCGGGGACCGGATGCAATCTACTCTCAGAAATCATTTGTGAAAACATGACATAATCAAGATCAAACATACTATATATGGGTGATGACAGACATGAATCTAAGCATATCAGTGACTTGCAAATAAACTATGTTGGTCCTTCTGCAATTATATGCCTCGTGTCAGCAAATGGTATGATCACAGGAATTTCATGCCATCACGAAGACACATTTCCACACACACGTGTAGTATACACACTGATACCTACGTGTTTCCAGATTTTATGTGTGTAGCATACTAGTACAGGGGAAGGCATCTGAGCTAGTGGTTAAGTGTGCACCACGTCAGAGTACCTGGGTTTGATACCCAGCTCTAGTACATGACATCAGCTCTCTGTGAGTGTTCCCAGGAGGCAGCAGTCATGGCACAAGTAGCTGGGTTCCTGTCATCCATGTGGGAGACCTGGATTGAGTTCCGAGCTCCTGTCCAGTTCCAGCCACAGTGGGCGTTTGAAGAGTGTGTCAGAGGATGGGAGGGGTAGATGAGTATGTGTGTGTGTGTGTGTGTGTGTGTGTGTGTGTATGCATGCGTATGTGTGTGTGTGTACCCCTCAAATATTTAAAGACTATTTCTTTGAAGTCCAAATAGCTAAATCTAGGTAAGCACAGTGAACTGAGTGGTTACAAATCTATCTGTTTTCTGCTAACTCACTGAGGAATAGAGTTTTTCATGTGATTTTGCTATGCCTCTCAAAGATACCGTCAGTGTTAATCAGATCCACAGATAAGACGTATTTTGTGGACATATTTTCAAAATCTTTGTTTATTAAACTTGGCAGACATTAAGTTAGTATTTTCATTTTGAATAAACCCCTCGGTTTGCACCATCACTTAAAATATAATCTAGAGATAAAGCACTTTGGTAATCCATGCCATCGTTACAACTTTAACATCACACTGAAGGCTACAGCATTTCGTAAAGTGAATTCTTAAATACAGGGACGCCCGGAGCCTGGGTGCCAGTTTCCACGTTTGCTTTTAGTTACCTCGAGGCTTTCACGTACTCTCCACTTGCTCCTGTTGCTATCAGAAATGACCTTGGGTGTGTAGACAGCACCATTCAAAATCATCCAAAGGAAGGAACATTCAGAACTCCTGCCTCCTCTGAGGCCTCCTGAGATGCCGACGTTGTACACGGCGGTCCTGAAGCCTGCTGCAGGGGCAGAGCCAAGTCAGTGACACGGAGGACAGCGAGGGAGGCTGGCCTGTCCAACGATGCGATGACTCTGCACACGGAGCTGGTATCCGCTGAAGTGAGCACGATGCACCTGCCGCACCCTCTGAGAACAGCCAGCCACTGAAGCACCCAGGCTCTGTCGCCTTGTGTGTCGTTGGAGGAGGCAGAGGTGCTGGAGTGTGAGCCAGGACTCGGGTCCCCCATGAAGAGGAGACTGCAGTGACTGGGGGCTTCCTCTCTCCCTCACGTGGCATCAGACACACGGCAGAGCCCAGGCAGAGCCGCTCCGGTCTGTCTGGCAGTGGCTTCTGCTGCTTCCCCCCTGCTCTCGTCTGTGCTGAGAGGTAAGGGAGCAGCTTGCATTCTGCAACTACCAGAAGCAACATGCGTACAACCAGTGCCTCGTCTCCCAGCGAGCGAAAGCAACTGACATAAACACAGTATAAATTCTTTGAACCGTTAATTAGGGATGCTTCCTCACTCAAATCAAAGTTCTGACTGCCTCCTGTTTTGCATGAGGGCTGTGAGGCTGGTGGAGCTACCCCCTGGTCTTTGTCTATGTACATACCTACATCTACGCCTCTTTATGAACACAAGGGGTCGTGATCACAGCCCCAAACCGACGCTGCTGCATCGCATTCCAGCACATAAAACTCGGAGAGTGAGACAGTTTCCAGGCAGGACAGGAAGCGACCAGGGTACAACGGCAGAAAGGGTCAGAGCTGGAGATTTATTTCTTCTAAGTTCAACTCAGAAATATAATAATAATTAAGAGAAACCAGAAACAAAAGCAGAGGCCCCAGCGCTCGCCCTTCTGCTCCCCTCTACCAAACACACAAGCCCGAAACTCTGCAGTCTTAAAGTGCAATTACTGTGGTGAAGCCGCTCAGGCCAGGGATCAGGCTGGATGGAGTTCAAAGCCGAAACTTCAAACACGCTGCTCATGACTCGGGGGCTGGGAGGGAGGGCCGGGGCGGGGGAGGGGACTGACAGTTCTCCAGCATTCAAGTGCATCAAAACAATCAACGTCCTGTGTCTCGGGAAGAAAGTCTGCAAGTTGTAAGGAATCCGCGTTTGGAAGAAGAGACCTTTCTCCAGACTTCTATCTGAGGATGCTGGGAAGCAGCAGAGCCCAGAGGCAGGCGAGGGCAGCCTGCAGCAGGGGCCGGGCGTTCCTCCCAGGCGCCCCGCCGTACCGGTGGCCTCGGCTGTCCTCTGCTAAATCTTCGGCTCTGGGCAAGGACGAGGCACACTGGACCAAGGGCATCTGGTAAGATGTGGCCCTCTTCTCGGGCCTGTCTGGGCTGGAACCGTCGCTGGGCCTCTGGCCGTTGAAGAGCAGGTAACGGCCCCGGGCGTCCTGCTCCATTTTGAAGATCTCGTATTCCGTGTGAGGTAGTTTGATGCCCAGGGCCACGCAGCCGTTGGTGTGCGTCACGTCCTGCTGGATGCCCACCTGCCAGGAGCCCTCAGCCCCACACTCGTTTCCGTTGAAGACGTTGAGGAGCGAGGCTGTGGCCGCGTCCATGGGGGTGACCTTCATGTGATTCACTGCAGACGAGAGAGGAGAATCCCATGACCCTCTGGATGAAGCCCAGGGCACAGACATCCTGCACCAAATGCTGGAGACGCCCTGCCTGGACCAGGCTCTCTGGTGGAAACACAATCGGACCAATCCCGCACCCCTACCCCAACTGCAGGAATCGTACACGCGTTTGCAGGTGGGAAGAGTTTACTGTGTTGATTTTTATGGCAGTCACACAACATACAGCTGGACCCATATCCATGAGGTCTACATGGGAGGATTCAACAATCACACATGGAAAAAGAAAAAAAATAGGTCTATAAAAATTGCATCTGTACCAAACACAGACTTTTTTCTTGTGATTCACTAAGTAACGCAGTAAACATCGATTTACATAGCATTTCCATGGTAGTGGGTATTATGAATCATCTAGCCATTATTTAGAGTAGCAAGGCAGGGCAGGCATCTAGCCTAGCAGTTTTGGGATGCCTACATCCCACATCTGAGTGTCTAACGGATCTGAGTCCCAGCTCTACACTCTGTTCCAGCTTCCTCCTAACACACATCCTGGGATGCTACATTGATGGCTCAAGTAGTTGGGTCCCTGTCATCCAAGTAGGGGACTCAGACTGAGTTCCTAGCTCCCAGAATCAGCCTGGCCCAGCCCAAGCTTTGTGGTCATTTGGGGAGTCAATTAAGCAGACAGGAGGTCTCTCTGTTTCTCTGCCTCTACCTCTCTTTTTGTTTTCTGAATGAATAAAAAACTTTTTAAAAAATCTACTGGAGGATGCATGTCGGTTCTATGCAAACACTACTCCACTTTATATAAGGGACTTGAGGATTTCTGGAACTGTGTCTACAGTTCTTCCCACTTCTGCCAGTAAAATCACCTAAAAATCACTATGTTAAAACTCTCCACAGAGAGGCCTCTTTGCTCGAGAAGAGTACGATGGAAACATTAGCAAATAGTGAACGTCTGCTTCTTGCTTGTTTGAAACCCTGAAGATGTGTCCAGAAAACACAGGCCACGTGTGGTGAGCAAACGCTGAGTCAGGCTGCAGCTGGCCGTGCCTGTGGCTGGGAAGAGAACTCAGCAGAGGGCTCCCCGGGAGCTGTCTTGGTAACGCTCACTCTGGGGCAAGAAGCAAGATCCAGCCAGAATCAGACTTTTGTTTTTGTTTCTCAAAGTTTCGGTGCTGAATGCCTATAGCAGTGAGCATTCTCACAAGCGAATGCAGGCCCATAAACCAGGCATCCTATGTACGTTTAGGTTGCAAACTAGAAAAACATGAGCAATCAATTTAAGTAGAAGTCCTAGCCCCTGTAGAGAAGGGCTTCGGAAGGTCCTCCCAGGGACCACATTCCGTGTATGCACTGGGCTGGAATCAGATAACGAGTGCTCTCTCTCAGTCAAGTTCATCCAAGGCGGGGTGTTCCTGAGCAAGCTGTCCTCCCTAGAAGGACCGCTGAGATGCTCTAGGGCTCATCTGCATCAACAGAAATGCTTCTCCTCATTGAGCTGAACCACACAAGGCTCCCCAGAGAGCTGCACCCCGGATCGAGGCCTTCTCGCTTTATCTGGGCAAGACAGGACTGACAGCACTTTACAATGGTCAGCAAATCAAAAACAAAGAAAGACATTTCTAGAGACAGTGACCATGAGACCTGCCTGCCTGAGCCCAGGGCAGCTCTTTCCTAGCTTCCTGGCTGAGTGGTCAGCACACAGCATGGGTCTTCCCCAAGGAGATCCCACCTGCAGGCCTGGGACAGCTTCTCACGTGCAGGACAAGCTCAGGGCTGGAAAGGACAGCTCCCAGCTCCCGGGGTGTCAACCCTCCTCCTCGCTGCCTGCTCAGAAAACACTGGGGCCATGGGCAAGCGTGATGGGCATCAGAGGGCAGCTCAGGATCCATCACACAAGGAAATACACAGACTGGAGATTTCATTCCCAGGAACATCCTCCTTGGACCATAGCCCACATGTATGTGACTGGGCCTGCAGGCCAAGGCCAAGGCCAAGGTCAAGCACAGGGCCCTGTTCTGAGCAGGCAGGCAGTACTGTGAAGACTGCCAGGAGGCATCGATTATTCCCTCATTTTCTCCCCAGCAGCTCAAGCACATAAGAAGCCCCATCCGTCCCTTAGGCTCTGCCTCAACACGAATGTCCCAGAACTGCTCGTGGGACCCAAGGCAGGAATCCTACCTTTGAACACAAACTCGGTGCCTCCCATGACCCTGGAGGAGAGCACTCCGCGGCTGTAGCGGCCCCGGGCGTAGATGGTGAAGGTGGGGTGCTTGCAGACGGGGTCCGAGTAGTGGTAGTAGTGGCCCTCCCAGGTGTTGTTGTTGTCATGGAAGATGAAGTGGCGGGTGAGGAAGAGGACCTCGGGGCGCACCTCGCAGCGCTGGCTCACCCACTCCCCGTGCAGGCCGATGGTCAGGTCGGCCTTCGGGGGCAGGATGGGAGGGCGGTGCTCGTCGGAGCGGAAGATGATGCGACAGGCTATGCAGGCGTGGTCGTGGTTCTGCAAACACACACAAGCAAACACTGAGACACCTTCAACTCCCTGGAATATGCACCCTCACACATTTCCTTACATATGGGGTCCACCGGGGCAGGGCCTCGACACCCAAGCCACCTTAGCCTGTAAGCTGGATGGCCAGGAGGCAGCAGGGCTCTGCCCTGGTGCACAGGCAAGAGGGAAAGGGGGTGTGCACCGTGTCTACACACATGTGCACACGCATGTGCCGACAGTACAGATTGGCCTAAGCATTCCAGCTCTGGCACGAGCCCTCTTTAGACTCTTAGTAAGTCTGCAGACACAGTGGCAACACCGGACAGCCCCTGGGAGGGGCACTTCAAAACAGTAACAGCAGCAGCAAAGAAGTGATGGTGAGGAGGTGGAGAAATTAGAACCCTGGACCCTGCTGGTGGGAAGGTAAAACGGGGCAGCTGCTATACAAAACATTACTGTAGTTCCCCCAAATACCAAACACAGCACGACCATCTCGTCCAACAATTCCCGTTCTGGGTATATTCCCAAAAGACCTGAACACAGGGACTCAGACAGGCATTTGCATACCCATGTTTATAACAGCGTTATTCACGGCAGACAAAAGGCGGAAGCAACCCGAGTGTCCATTGACAGATGAAAGGGTAAACAAGACATGGGCTGTATATACAATGGAGTATGATTCAGCCTTAAAAAGGAAGGAAACTCTGACACACGCTCCAACATGGATGAACCGCAAGGACTTTGTGCTGGGTGAAACAGACTGGCCATAAAAGGCCACATATCGGGTGACTTCACTCACACGAGGGACCTGGAGGAGTCACAGGAACAGAAGGTGGAAGAGAGCGAGGCCAGCCGGGGCTGGAGGGGAGGCGAGCGAGGACCGAGGAGCTTCCTGGGTGGCATTTTCCTTTGGGAAGATGACAGAAGTCCTCTGGGGACGGTCGCATAGCAATGTGGCTGTGCTTAATGCTGGTGAGCTGCGCACCCGCTGAGTGTTTTATGGTGCTCAGTTTTACGCTGTTTCAATATGATCAACTGTCACCAATTAAAGGGCAGCATCCCGAAGGCTGTGCATGAAGGGAGCTGTCTAGAGCGGGCAGGGTCCCCTGGGAGGCGTCCACATGGGCAGTTTGTTTGCATCTGCCAGCCTTGGGGTGGGGAAGCTTCCGGACTCCGTCTCCATCCTGCTTGCCTAGCTTTTGGCAAGTTCCTTCATGCGAGAGAGCGCCGTGTGCATCTCTGAGGTCCTCCAGCCTTTTCTAACACTGACGTGGTCTGTGGACAGGGCTGATCAGGTTGGGCGTGCAAAGGCCTCCTATGAGGAGTGTGGGTGCCATGGGCGCCAGCTATTCCTGGCGGCAGGGGTGGGGTGGGGGGTCTGCAGGGCCATCACAGAAAGCCCGAGGGGAGCGCTGGATGCCTGCACACAGCACCATTACCCTGCGGTCTGACGCCAGGGGCTGCCTCGCCTGGAACGTGGGCTTGTCCCTCCACCATTCTCCTCCCACTGGGGTGGGGTTCAAAGGCCAAGGGGCTGGCAGAACCCTGACTCATAGAAGACAGGCTGCTCTGCCCCAGGCTGTGACTCCATGCTCATGTGGACACTCAGCCCTGGGCGCGGCCGCAAGCCTCTGGACAAGGCTGGCATGGGGTCAGGCTGTACCAGCATGCATCTGTTTGCAGGAGCCAGAGAGCTCCAAGCCAAGGCCTTTTGGTTCCCAGCCCTTGGTCACGTGGCCTGGCTGGGGCTGCCCTTGGGTCTTGGGCTTCCCCAGAAGGTGGCAGGGCGGGTGGAGGGCAGGCTTCCCGGCGGCCCTGAGCCAGGATCTCCTCCACGGAAAACGGCGTGCTCTGTAACACGCGCTGCTCTGCTTGCTACATGAGCTCAGCGCTGCCATTTCCGACAGCGGATGTTTCCTCTGCTGACGCGGTTCGTGGCCTGGAGACGATGGGACCAAACATGCCACAGCAGGAGACGAAGGCCAGGTCTTCACCATCCAGGGACGCGGGGGCCTGCAGTTTCTGACTCCTGGGGACACAGGAGAAACAGAACTGCCCCCGTGGTCACTCTGGTGAGAAACAGAGAGGGGGCGGAGCATCTGTGCTCGGCCCAGGAGGGCTCTGCTGAATCACAGCATGGAGACGGTTCCAGCCAGGTCATGTGGGCCAGGGCCAAACCCCACCGCTTCCCACCTGGTGACCTTGGGCACCTTATTCATTTCTGTCACCAACTTCCTCAACTTGTACAATGGCCATCATTATACTGCCTTGCATAACTGCTGCAAGAAATGCCCAGTAGATGGTTTCCATTTCAGCCCCTTCGGGTCTTAAGACTCAACAAACAGCCTCTCTCCCCTCCCCCCACAAAGGGGCCTCTGCCTTTCAAATGCTGCTGGCGTGAATGAAACACCAACTGGGGTACAAGAAAGCACCCCTGGGTTCAGGAACTTTGCCACTAAATCTTTCCTTAGCAAACCACTAGGGTAAAAGTTCCAAGCTTTTCACTCCAGAACAGGGTAGCAGTCCACAAGGTGCAGGATGCAAAGTGAAGAGGTGTGTGACGCCCGGGCCAGCTCCCGCACACAACAGGCGACCCTGCAAGGGCTAGGACCATCATCATCAAAATTCCACCTTCCATCCTGGCTCCCGGTCTTCCCTGCACACAGAGTCCACACCAGCCTAGAGCTTGGGTTCAAATCATTGATTCCATACACAGGACAGTGGGGATTTTGTGCAGGCTGACAAAGACATCTAGGCTGTTTAGGGGCCAGCCCCGGCCAAGCACCAGGGTCAGCACCACCGGCAGGTGGGCTCCAAATTGCGAAGAGAGAGCAGCCCCTGGGTGTACACGTCTGGTCAAGGTAGAGGCATGGAGCCAGAAGGTCTCCAAGATACCTAGGAGGTGCTCCAAGTGTGTGCCATTCCCAGAGTGATGCACACCTGCCACCATGCCTGCTCCCAGGCAGGCCCGGAAAGGGCTACGTGGGCTGCCCTGTTCACTTCTACCAGCCTCGATCTCCACCTCCCCCCTGCACCAGGCCCCACAGCCTGGTCTGCCCCCAGTCATCTGGGAATCTGAAATTATCACCTGTGACTAATTCAAGCCCTTCTGAGATGTGAGCCTTGGGGCACAGCACAGTCTGAGTCCCAGCTGCTCCATTTCCATTCTAGCTCCCTGCTAACACACCTAGGAAAGCAGTGGAGGATGGCCCAAGTGTTTGGGCCCCTGCCACCCACACAGGAGACCCGGATGAGGCTCCTGGCTCCTGTCTGGCCCAGCTCGGGCCATTGCCACCATTTGGTGAATGAACCAGCAGATGGGAGATCTGTCTCTCCCTCTGTCACTCTGCCTTTCAGATACATAAATTTACAATTATTTATAAAATTAAAAGAAGCTATGGGTATCAATCCATGAAAAGAGGTGGCTGCTTTCTCAAATGGCAGTTATCAATTCAGGAAGGGCTTGGAATGCTTCTTAGAAGGGGCTGGGGGCAGGGGGAGAAGGCAATTTGGTTACTGCAGGAGGTGCTGCTGATTGTATCAAGGATCAACTGCTTTTCAGTTCAACAAGAAGAGGCTTGGGGTGAGGGGAGGAGGGCACGGCTTCATCCCAGCGGTCCCTGAATGGCACCACACCCAGAGTGGGAGTGTTTGGTGTTTACGGGGTGCTCTTTTGTATGAACAACAGGGCAGGGGTCCTGAGTCCCAAGATGAGGACCTGGCTGGCCTGTGGTCACTTCAGACAAATGCTGGTCCTGGCTGACGGGTCTGTCGGCAGCAGCAGAGCCAGGCAGGCTGGGCAATCCAGAGGAAGCCTTGTGTGTACCAGGTGCATTTGCATGAGTTTAAGGCAAGATGCGTGGAGTGCGCAGGCCTGGCTGTTGGGTACTGGTCTTGCCAAATTCTTACACTAGTTACTGTCACGTGATTGAGGTCAAAAACACATGAAGAACTGACCAGGTGTACAGGTGTATGGTTCCGTTGCTTCAAGTCATCCGCCAGTGCTGTGCAGCCATTGCCACCATCCATTGCCAGCATGTTTTCATTTTCCCAAACTGAAACTCCAGGTCCTTTAAATACCAACTTCCTCTTCCCTCGACCCACGGCTCCAGGCTTTCTGTCTATGAATCGGACTGCTCTCTATGCCGCTCATCAGAGGACAACTAATTTGTCCTGCTCTGGCCTCTTTCATGAGACAGAATGCCTTCAAAGTTAATCTTTAGCACAGCGTGTGTTGGAATGTCCTTCCTTTGTAAGAGTGAATCCTCTTCCACTGGACGTCTACACCGCATTGTTATCCAGTCAACAGCAGACACGTGGGGTGCTTATGTCTGTCAGCTCTTCTGAATAATGCTATGAATCATGGGTATGCACAGCTGTTCGATTTCCTGGGCACATGCTCAGAAATGAAATAGTTAAGACACATGGTCACCTTTCGGTGAATATTTTGAGGAATCCCCATATTCTTTTCTGCAGGGCTATACAATTTAAATTCCCACCAGCAACACACCAGGGACCCCCGTTTTCCACATCTTCACCAGCACTTGATATTTTCTATATTTTTTTTATCACAGGCATCCAAATGAGTGACTCAGTATTCCACTGTGATTTTCATTACATTTACCTAAGATTGATAGGGATGAATAGTTTCACAAGCATATTGGCCATCTGTGCACCATCTAAAGAAATGTCTGTTCAAGCCCCTTTGCTCTTTCAATTTTTTTTTTAATTGGCTGTTGACAAGTTAACCTGTTTTTAAACTTTTTTCGAAATTTGTTTGCAGGGCAGAGAAAACAGTGCTCCAATTTGCCAGTCTACTCCTTAAGTGCCTGAAATGTTTGGGACTCTGCCGAGCTGGGAACTCAATCCAGGTTTCTCACATGGGTGTCAAGAACCCAGCTAATTGAGCTAAGCTTAGGGTTAGGTTAAGGACTAGGGTTAGAGTTAGGTTTAGAGTTTGGGCTAAGGTTAGCACTAAGGTTAGAGCTACGGTTTGGGTTAGTTACGGC